TGTGCCAGGTCACCAGTGTAATGTTTTATATGACAACAGTTTATGATGTCAGCAACTTTTTCTCAATAGAAAAAAAAAACCCTATTATTTACTCTGTCTAGATGCATGTTCAGGTACTTCTGTAGATCCCCAGAGGAAAATCTGATTTTAGGCTTTGAAAATTCCCCAGACAATACCCCAAATAAAAAAGGGAAATCACTGCAGTTAAGGGAATTCTTAATACAATAATGCAAATGACATGCACTTGGTTCTGCTTTCCTCTGCAATTCTGACATCACTAAAAGCAGGAAGTCTTACATAAAGAAGTATGAATTTTCAAATTACAGCACAAGGCCCAGGGAACAGAGGCTGACTCTACAAACCAGAGAGGGAATCTAACCAGGGCGAGGAGGTACAGCTGGGCCAGTTGCCTCTGCACTTCCACCCCAGTCTCTGACCATGTGTTGCCAGAGGGCAGAGCCTGCCTCCACCCACTCCTCCATAAGAGGAGGCAAGGTAGAGATGAGGTGACAGGCAGAGGCAACAGGCAGCAGCGACAGAGGACTGGAGGACAGGAGTCGATAAGCAGTGGGAAGACTCCAAACTTTAATAAAGAGAGCTGATCCTGTCCTCTCTAAGCCAAAAGATAATTCAGAAATGCTACAGGCCAATGGTGTACTGTTACAGAACAACAAGGGGGGGCCTGGGATGATATACTATTACTGAAAGAAACCCCCAGGTCCGTTATTTCTGCTGTCTATAGGAAAGATGTCTCTCAGTGCCAGAGATTCGTGAATAGGAAAGGAAGTGTTTATTTAATGCTATACAAACTTAAAGTAGTGACCTAATGTCTTCATCAAAATCCCAAAGTCCCTTAAAACACCCACGAACACACACAGTCCTTCCTTCCTCCTTTGCCCAGTCCAGAGTACTGTATCTCAGGAAAAGAAATAGAAGTCCGTGGCTCAGGCACCCCCGGTTCTTGCCAGTAATCCATGCTCTGCTGGGAGGCCTCCCTCGGTTCCCGGCACCATCAGCTGTGTCACCAGAATCTCTGCTAAAGCTGGGTGGTGGTTTCTCCTTCTAAATTTGCAGGGGTCCCCACTCTGGCAAAGTCGAGAGGTTCTCTCTCCACTGCCCAAGCCGCATGGTCCTCTCGGCACAATGGCTGCAGGAGTCTCCACTCTGGCAAAGCCACGTGGTTCTCCCTCCCAGGGCTGCGGGAAGGGGGTCGTCACTCTGCCAAAGCTGACTGGGGGTTCTCTGCTAAAGCTGCATGGTGATCCTCTCTCACAGGGCTGCAGGAGTTTCCACTCTGCCAAAGCCATGTGGTTCTCCCTCCAATGGCTGCCGCGTCTGGGTTTAAATATCCATGCCAATCCTCCTCTGCAGCCCCATTTCCGACTCCTCCCACAATTCGCTACACTTGCCAGCACTCTCATATCCTTCCAGCTTTACTAGGCTGCTTTCGTGAGTCTGGGGAGGTGTGGCCCCATGTCATGGTGCCAATCATCTCCAAGCTCTCATGCAGGTGCCGTAACTCGGGGGGACCAGCCCCCCAGTTATGTCTTGGTGGGGAAGTTACTTCCATCCTCCTGCTTCAGAGCGTGACCACAGCTATTTAACATATCTATGTAACCAGTTAAAGGTTATAGATATGTTAAATGACCACACCAGAGATTAGCTGCAAAGCTGTTGCTATGCAAAACAGCTCTCAATGGCCCTGCTCCATGTGTCCCTTCCCCCAGCTCACACCTGTTGCGGGGGTGGTGAGGACATCCTAATATTTCCTGGACACTCTGAGTTCTGGACCCCATTCCAAATCCCTATTTGGGGCCCCTCTGTTGGCTGCACCCTGTTGCAGTACCATCTCCTTACGTCTCAGTGTAGGGTAAGAAAAGCTTGTTTAGGGAATAGGGCAGTTACCCTGCATCTTCTACAGGGAACTCCATTTGAGAAAGACTTATTGCATAGAAGCTTTTTCAGGAAGCAAGGCATAAAGGTAAAACCCCAGCTTTCCCTGTCCTCCTAAGCAAACAGCTGAAGCCACTCCTCCTCATCATTATTCTCTTGGGCGCCACATCAGAGATGGAAAGCTACTAGTCTCAGGTACTAATCCTTGTTCTTTCTCTATTCATGGCTGCATGTCTGGCTTTGTTTCCCAGTCACTGAATGCAGCTTCAGCACCACCTGAGATTTCTGGTTTGTTATAGAAGATCTCTGTGGAGGTACATGCTTTGGTGTTGCTCTGATATGTATAGTAAGTATTTTCACGAACTGTTGCACTAATATTTAAGCTGCCAAGCACCTGCACATGAATGCTTACAAAAGGAAAAGTTTAAAGGACTCTTTCTGCCACTCTTCCTCAACCCTGTCATTTCCTTTCATGGACTTAGTTAGACCTGAGAGCCCGAGAATAAGAAATGGGTGCACAAAGTTTCTAATGTGAGAATCTGCTTTTCCCCTGACATTTCTCCTGGTGAACGTCTCCAAAATGCTCACCTATCAACAGCAGAAGCAGCCAACATTTCATTGTCCTCAGGGAATACTCCTGAGCTTCCAGAAGCTCTCCTGGTCTGTTATTGAGGAAATGTATGTATTTACTTGAAATTTAAATGAAAGATGTCTCCCAAGTGTGCTACTGGTCAAAGATAATAACAAAATTCATGGAAATGATGGTCGAATCCAGGATAATAGAATAGTCAGTGGGCTTCTGCGTAGGGCACTTTGCCCACATTTACTTGCCTCTGAGAGTGCTGGAGTAAGCAAAGCGGCAGCCAGGCCGCCCAGGATGGTGAGAGGCCCACAGTGGGTTTCTGCCTGAGGTTTTATGGACAGAAGGGGCAGAGCCAGGGCCCCTTGTGTTGCCTGCCTGGCCCTGAGTGCCTGCCTGGCTACTCTGCGAAGCCTGAGGGACAGAGTTGTGCAACAAACAAACACACCCTCAGAGGGCTCATGTTCTAGCCCCAGGGGAGAGGGACACCCCCAAGCAGGTGTGTGTAATGGCAGTGAGAGCCGAAAGGCAGGTGAGGAGGGTGTATGGAGGCCAAGGGTCACTTTCCATAGGTGGTCAGGGATGACATCTGACAGGGGGACATTTAAGCCTAGATGTAAAGGAGGAGAAAGGGCAGAGGTGTGAAACTGGGTGGGATGCTCAGAGGGAGGAAGTGGACAGAGAGAGCAGCAAGCATGCTTCTGCAGGAGGACCCTGCGCATCAGAGGGATAGCTCCATGAGCACCATGAGATGTGCGGCTGGTGCTCAGGCAGCCAGGGCAGAAGGGAGCCCAACACCACCTGAGAAAGAGAGGGTCGGGGTCTCCAGAGCATGACTGCCCACTCCAAGGGCTTTGCTCTTCGTGAATGGAGAGCCTCTAGAAGGCTTTAAGCACTGCAGTGACGTGATCTGTGTGTTAAAAGGACCACTCTGGCTTCTGTTGAGAATGGAATGTAGGTGCAAACAAAGCAGAAAGACCAGTTGGGAAGCACACAAGGAAGACAGTGGCATGGCCCAGGTGGTCCCGGAGGAGGCAGTGGCAGTTGGTTGGAGTTGACATTTATTTTTAAGGTAGAAGTGATGGCATCTTGCTGATGGGCTACAGGATGTGAGAAAAGACATGTTCAAGGATGATGCCGTGGCTCTGGCCTGAGCAGCTGAAGGGATGCAGCTGCTCTTGATTCAGATAGGAAGACTCAGGAGGAGCAGGTCTGGGGAGGACTGAGACATGCCTGGGACAGAACCAAGGTTCAATTTTGGGTGTGCTATTTTTGAGGTGTACAGGAGGGGTCCTGGTTAGAGACACAAACATGGATGCAATGAACACATGGTATTCACGGGAATGGATGCTATCACCTACTGTGAGAACAGCAGAGACAGCATTGTCCCTCAGGGAGTGTGCTGGAAATTTGTGGGGACATTTTCAGTTGTCACCATGATTGGAGGTGCTACTGATACTTAATAGGTAGGAGGAAAAGGAGCCTAGATGTCCTACAATGAATGTGACATTCCTGCATAAAGACTGTCCCACAATTTTCACCTATTCCATAGACATTCATGTAGGTGGAATACTTCATCATGACCGGAGCCTAGAGTGTTCCCTTCATTTCATGTACAAAAACCATGTACTTTGTGCACAGCTTTGATTCAGTGACAAGGGGAGACTGCAATTGGGTTCTGAGCTTTACCAAGAGTGTCCAGCAATCCCATCCCTCCCTCAGTGTCCTTCACAGCACCCAACTCACAGACACAAGGACCCTGAACTGGTCTGCATTGCAGCTGTCATCCCAGTGTGCAAAGAAGTGCCACAGGTGCTTCAGTGCAGTCACGCTGAGCCACATGCAGATGGAAACACAAATTATTTAATTATAAACTAGTGTCCTTTTATAGCTAGGATATTATACTAATTCTTCAAAACCATGTGTGTAGGTAGGTTATGCTGCCTCTGATTTCATCTCAGGGCAGTATACCAGCTGTTGGATGTGACACAGTAGCTTGAAAAGAGCCAAGGCCCAAGGACTGTGCTCGCGGCCCACCCCAAGTTAGAAGCCCAGGGCAGGGTGAAGAGTGGGCAGTGGAGGCTCCAAACTGCTGCCCTGAGGGAGGAGACAATGGAGAAAGAAGACTTTCCCAGACACAGCACCTCATCAACAGTGTTCATTCTGCTGACTCATGTAAGACAAGGATGAAGAACGACCAAGGGGTTACCAGGGTCATCAGTGACCCGAACCCCCACCCAGTGGGGTGCTGGGGGTGACACTGACAGGAGAGCCCACAGAGTCCAGGGAAGGGGATCTGAACCACTGTGAACCATTTTGCAGGTTTCCTTTCTTGACCCCAGGTGCCCCAGCTTCACGCCCTTGGCTCTGCTCCTTTAGGTCAGGACAGGCTGGTTCCCCTGGGACCCTCCTTGGAGGCTCTGTTCCAGCCCTGGGAGGCTACTAGCTTTGCCTACTGCCCTCCCCAGTCCTCCTGAGCAGGTTGCTGGGCACCCAGCTTCCTGGCCCTGGGTGTTTCAGCTGATACCTTGCTGAGTTGGGACTCAAAAGCCAGCGAGGTTGAAGACTTAGAACTCTTCATGCCAGAAGAGGCAGCGGGAAGGGGCCGTGCACGGTCGATCCCATGGGTCCCTGCTTTGGTGATTGGACTCCAGGCCTTGGCTGTGCTCCTCATGTTTGTCAAGTGGGTCTGTCTTGCTGCAGAAGAAATGAAGAAAAAAACACTTGTGTCCACTACTTGAACCTGCTAAGTAACATCACAGAGCTTTACTCAGGTACCACATTCACTATTGTTATTCTGGAGAACCAGTGGGTCTGCCTAGGCTGCAAAGTGGCTCTCATCCTAAAGTGCTGCCCTTGCATGAAGCTAATCTTCCAGCTTCACAACAGTTGCTGCCAAGCTATAAAGACATGTGTGCAACATCATTGATGTTCTGACATTACTTTTCAGCATATGATGGCTTCTTCTTAGTCAGGGACACCTAATACAATGTTACTATATACCCATACACTACCTATATTTCCCCATGTGAAATAGGCCAGCTTGAGCCAAGACATACCATGTCCATTAGCCTTGCAGCTTTAGGGCTGACAATGGCACAACCTACCTACTTTTTAAATAGACATAAACAAATTGCTTGAAAATTGGGTTTCACAGAAGCACAACTTTTCTCCTTTTGGACAAACATGGATAACATTTACAAATTATTAGAGCATATTTTTATTGGTCAGACGTGACATTATAGGACAGAGTTACTGCTCTGACTAAAATATTTTATGAAATCAAAATTGTTCAAAGTAGCAGCATGCAGTTAAAGACCTATGGGGAAAATCGGCATACAAAGAGACATGGAAAGCAGGAGAGGTCCTGCAATCAGCAATCAGTGCTGCCACTCCTGGAGAGGTGTGGCTGGCCATCTCTGCACCTCTCTGAGCCTGTTTCTTCCATCAATCGCACCACGAGACTGAATGAAATGCCCTCTAGGATCTCATCCAGCTCCAGTCCCAACCCTGCCCATCCCCACAGACTCTAATTACCAGGACCATGAGACAGAACACCAAAACTGCAGATAATGCTCCATCCTTTCAAAGAAACAAATTTTAAAATGCACTTTTAAAAACACCAAAAGGTGATAGATAATTCCAGTGGCCACACTCACAGGACCCAAGGGGTCTAATTAACTGTCCCTAAGGGATGACAGCTGGTATTAGGCGGCTCTGGGTCTCTTCCCCCTTCGATGAATCCCAGTACACCCCATAGCCCTCCATCAGAACAGCAACAGACCGCCTCCCCAATCTTACTCAGTCTGTGACCTCCTCCTGTTCTCCTCTGCTTTTCCTGGCCAGAGGAGACCATTTCAACAGAGTCTCTCAGCCAGGGCCACCCTGCTCCTGTTCATACATTTTTTTTCATATCAAAGCAATTCAGTATATTTCCTGACACCAGTCATTCCACACAGAACAGCAGGGTGCACTGGGGACAAGCATGGTCTGCAATGGTTGTGAAATAGGATAGATAACATGGGAAGAGTCAGGTACAGAACCAACCATTCAGGATGCTTATAAGCTTGCAGTGGGAATATAGTCAGTTTCTCCATCAACATTATTTTTTAGTGAAAAGTCACTACATTTAAAAAGTTCCAAAGATACTGTGGAAAGACAGCTCTGTGTTTGCCCAAGCTATAACTGAGTATATTAAAAATTTACAGTTGGTTCATTGTTTTATAACAAATTCTGAAGCCAGTTTTTTATTTCAAAATATAAAAACATTAGTGCTTGATTTCACAGGTGTCCATTTTTAATGAAAAAAATTTGAGCATGAATCCAAATGATTTTGAAGTTTTCAAGTTCCAGTGGCTCATAAAAGGTGTCCTTGTGCTTCCATACCCACATCCACATTATGTCCTCCTTCATGGTGATTTTCCTTCATCCCTGTGTCTTCCCCTTCTGGGATTATGACTTTCATTCAGGTCTTCATTGTACCACTCCACACTGGCAGATTTGTCTCTGTTCCTTTACATATTGAGACTATCTATTATACATCTGCAAAAATATTCTTTCTTGGACGCTGCTTCTATCACATTATCCCATTGGTCAAAAACTTCAGTCTTGTTGGGATCCATATTTTAATTGTTCACTCATTTATCTGTTCATTCAACAAATATGTACTGAGTGTTTACTATATACTAGACACTCTTCTAAGCACTGAAAATACAACCACAAACAAAACAGACAAAAGAAAACCAGTGCTCTCATGAAGCTTATATTTACTCACTAGAATCTAGCAGACCCTTCACTTTCTACCATCTATGCCTAATTGGACCCTATCAACCCTTTCCTCTTTTGTTCTTCCCATGTCTCCCAGTTCCCTCCTTACCACGCAGCAACCTAGTTACTCTCCAACACAGATTCTCTGAGCCAAGAAGACTCTGCCTTCTTACCTTGTTCTTGCTTGCCGATACTCTTCTCACTCTCCCATAAGAACGTGCACCTTTGCTGGTCCTCACCCTTGGAATACCATCTCTCTTCTCATTCTCCAAATTTTGACTCAAATAGTGTAAAGAGTATTTTCCTCTCTGACAAATTCCTTCACCAGGTCTTCCCTGTACTATTCTCATGTACACTTGATAGCAAATCCCTTTAAGTATTCAGTTGTTTCATAGGGTTAAGCTTGCTGCCTTCGGCTAAACAGATGATTACAAAAATTCCAAGGTCTAAGTGAGTCAGTGAGGTATAGCAAAAAGAGTCCAGGACCAGCAGTTGGGTGGTGGGGTTTCTCTTCTGGCTCTGTTACCAACCACTTAGTGTATAATCTGGGGCACCTTGAGCATATCACTTAACTGCCTCAGACTCTAGTACTCTCCTTCACTGAAAAGAGGTCTCACCAGAAACATGGGTGGTCTGTTCAACCTCCCTTGCCATTCTTCAAGTCTATTACTTTTCATTCTGAAATCACTCTTTTTTTATAGCCACATTTTTAAAGTTGAATTTATTGAGGTGACATTGATTAATAAAATGATATACGTTTCAGGTGCACAATTCTACAACACATCATCTATACACTGTACTGTGTGTTCACCGCCCCAGGTCAAGTGTCCTTCCATCATCATTTATCTCCCCTTTACCCTCTTCTACCTCCCCTCATCCACCTTTCCCTCTGGTCATCATCACCATACTGTTGTCTGTGACCATGAGGTTTTTTTGCTTAATCCCTTCACTTTTTTCACGCAGCTCCCTAGCAACTATCCTCCTCTCTGACAGCTGTCAGTCTGTTCTCTGTACCTATGAGTCTGTTTCTATTTTGTTTGTTAGTTTATTTTGTTCATTAGATTCCACATATAAGTGAAATCATATGGTACTTGTCTTACTCTGATTGGCTTATTTCACTTAGCATAATGGTCTCCAGGTCCACTCATGCTGTTGCAAAATGCAAGATTTTCTTCTTTTTTACAGCTTAGTATTGCATTGTGTAAATGTATCACAGCTTTTTTATCCACTCATCTACTGATGGGCACTGAGGCTGTTTCCAGATCTTGGCTATTGCAAATAACAGTGCAATGAATATAGGGGTGAATGTAGTCTTTTAAATCAGTGTTTTGGGTTTCTTTGGATATATTCCCAGAAGTGGAATTGCTGGGTCATAAGGCAGTTCCATTTTTAATTTTTTTGTGAAACTCCACACTGCTTTCCACAGTGGCTGCACCAATCTGCATTCCCACTAATAGTGGATGAGGGTTTCTTTTTCTCCACATCCTCACTAATACTTGTTTGTTGATTTATTGATGATAGCTATTCTAACAGGTGTGAAGAGGTGATATCTCATAGTGGTATTAATTTGCATCTGATAGTTAATGACATTAAGCATCTTTTAATATGTCTACCAGCCATCTGTATGTCTTCTTTGGAGAAATGTCTATTCAGACCTTTTGTCCATTTTTAATTGGATAAGAGTTTTTTTTTTGGTGTTTAGTTTTATAAGTTTTTTTTTATAAATTTTGGATATTAACCCCTTATCAGATGTATGTTTTATTGGTGAATATGTTCTTCCATTCAGTGGGTTGTCCTTTCATTCTGTTGATGGTTTCCTTTGTTATGCAAAAACTTTTTAGTTTGATATAGTCCTATTTGTTTATTTTTTTCTTTTGCTTCCCCTTCCTGAGAAGATATGTCAGAAAATTTGCTATGAGAAATGTCCTAGATTTTACTGCCTTTGTTTTCTTCCAGGATTTTTATGTTTTTGAGTTTAACATTTAAGGTTTTAATCCATTTTTAAAAATCTTCACCTGAGGATATGCTTATTGATTTGAGAGAGGAAGAGAGAGAGGAAGAGAAACATCAATGTGACAGAGAAACAATGATTATTTGCCTCCTGTTGCATCCTGATAAGTCTGTAATCCATTTTGAGTTTATTCTTTTTTTTTTCTGTCTCAAAAAGCTTTATTGTTTCCATTTGGTCTAATGCATGGGAGAGGGCTCCAGAATGGTTACAAGGAGATCTAGTGGTTTCAGGGAGAGGCTCAGGCAGAAGCCAGACACCAGGGGAACATACAGGGCCCCCTCAAAGGCCTCTGGGCTCCAAAGGCTCCTAGTCATGTTTGATGGGGGAGCTTTTTGAAGAAATTCCTGCCCAATCCAGCCTGGGGGCTGGCTGGACTGAGAAGGTGAGTCAGGTGGTCACCCATGTTCTTGATGAATTTCACCTCCAGGTGAAACCAGGTGACACCAGGAAGTGGTTCTTCAGGAAGTCACAGAGATGAGGGTCTGTGTGGACAAAACCAGGGGCCTGCAGATCCACAAGTCCCTGGGTCAGGTTCTTCTCTAAAGCCAAGGTGGCTTCCCTGGCATCCTGAGTTTCACCCCACTCACCTTGGGAAGGCTTCAGCACATCCCAGAAAAGAACTCGGCCACAGTGCTGGTTTTGCACTTTTAAGAGATGCTCAGTGCCCTTATGCTTCTTCTCGGCCAACTCTCAGAATAAGTGGCCCACATCCTGCAGAGTCATATCACATCAGTGGAAATAGAAGCCCTGAGAGAGTTAGATGTAGGAGGCCCACAGATGCAGGTTGGCCAAGCAGTTGATGGCAGCCTCTACCTTGGTGAAGTAATTCTGATGAATTTGGGAACTCATGGTTATTTGGCAATGAGTTTAAGGTAAAAAAACAGTGTTGGCTGATCTCGGAGGCTGAGGGTGGCTGAGG